CCGGTAACAACAAAGTGTTGCTCGATGTTCTTAGCGATTAATACATCACAAGGAGGTCTGCATCATCTTACATTCGAGAAAGACGCTTCTCAAGCCCTCGAATCACGGAGAATTTTAGAGAGGAGAATCAAGGGATACATATAATTGTACTCACAAATATTTATCAATAAAATCTCTTTTTCTTCATATTATTTTTGTTGTAGTTTATTTTTCGTCTTACAAAAATTTGTTGTGAACAGTTGTTTTTTGACTTATCGGGTATTGTAAGCACGGGGTTTGGAGCAAACCACGTCGTCTTCCACTGTCTCACCGCTTGGACGGAATCTCGATTAGGTCAACCCCAACAGTTAGATTTTGACTAATACAGTCATCAATTGTTAAAGTTGCTCAAATTTCTCAAGAACTTCAGTAATTATCTTAAAACTACTAGCATAATTGAAGGACAACTTCTGAAGTTGACAAACAACCACTTAAATTGTTGGAAAAACTCTTGTAAATGTAAACCAACAACGATTAAAGTTGTCGAACAATTGATGCTCATGCAGTTGTCAAGACAGCTAAAGAATCATTAGAACAACTAAAGCAGTTGTTCGACAACTCATAAAATTGTTAGAACAAATTCTTTAGTTGTTGGCAACTAAAGAAATTGTCGGTAACAACTTTTATAGTTGATGGCATAATTGAAATAGTTGTCAGGTATAAATATAGTGCTTCAGTAATATTTTGAATATCGATTGAGAATTATTATTCATAAATTCAGTAATTAATGACAATTGATGATTAATTGATTCATTCTATGAACTATTCCACGTAAACTAAATGATTCAATGGTAAAAGATGAAGAATGAGTCATTCTATGAATTATTAAGGATAAACATAGTGGATTAATAATAATTGAACATTGATCGGACAAATTTATAAATTATTACACACAAACTAAGTGGTTTAATGGCAATTGAACCATTCAATGAATTATTAAGGATAAACATAGTGATTCAATAATAATTAAAGATTGATGTAACAACTCGATCAGTTATTTTGTGTATCTGAGCCCAGTTTTTCCTTTTGAAGCTTTCCGTATGTGTATTTGTGATTTTGTAGCATGCGGGGATGGTTGATTTCATTTCGGGGAAGTTTTGGAATAATTTGGACCTTTGGTTCTTGGTTTAGAAGCTTAAGTTGGAAATATTGACCTAGATTTGACTTTTTTGAAAACGATCCCCAATGGTGTTTTGAAGGCTCCAATAGGTTTGTATAATGATTTTGTACTTGGGCATATGCTTGGAATCGAATTCGGAGGTCTCTAGGCTGATTTGACTTATTTTACCGAAAGTTGGCAATTTGAGGTTTTGGAATTCCCTATGTTTGACCATAGGTTGAGTTTATAACTATCGCGTTTAGAGTTTGATTTTGGGACTTAGAATAGGTTTGTTTTGCTATTTGGAACTTGTCTACAAAATTTGGTGTCATTCCGAGTTGGTTTGATAGGAATCGGTCGCTTGGTTACAATTCTAATGATTCTTAAGTTTTCCTTTTGAATTTTATACGTTTTGATATCCGATATATTTTGACACCTTGATTGCATTTGCGAATATAGGCTTGGGCTAGGTAAGGTTGCATTTGCAGAAGGGGTTGACATTGCATTTGCGAGGTTAGTGTCGCAATTATGAGATTCCCCTATAATGCCAGGCATCGCATCTACGAGGGTTTATAATTGCGAACCCAAGATCACAATTGCGAATTCTGCACCTGAACATAACAGCTAAATAAAACGAGATTGAGTATCATTTTTATTTGGAATCCTACACTCGGTATGAGGCAATTTTAAGAAGGAATTTGCACCTACAACTGTTGGGTAAGTGATTTTGATCAATTATCAATTACATCAAATGATTTATTTATGAGATTTAACATCAAATTCATGAATTTCTAAGAGAAATTTTGGTGATTTTTGTCTATATTTTGAAAAATGAAAATTTGAGATTTGAAAGTCGAATTGGACTCTGATTTACATATATGGACTCGTGGGATTATGGGTAGTCTATATCTACCCTTGGACTCGGATTTTGACCGAGCAAGCTTGTGGTTTACTTTTATTGACTTTTGGGAAATTATGTAAAGATCTTAGCTTTATTAATCGAAATTGATTTCTCTTGCATTGTTTGATAATATTAAGTTATTTTGGTTTGATTTGAGCCGTGTAGAGACAAATTTTAAGGGAAAAGCCATTTTTGAGTGTTGATTTGACCTAGTTGAGGTAAGTATCTTGTCCAACTTTGTGTGGGGGAACTACCCCATAGGATTGAGTTTTGATTGTACTATTTGAATTATGAGAAAGACGTGTACATGATGTGACGAGTGTGTACATGGACTTATATATGAAAATTAATCGGCTTAGACTCTTAGGTTACTTATAAGCATTTAATTGAAGTTGTTAATAGACATTATATCTTTCGTTGTCAAGTTTATTATTACATGATTTAACTGAAGTTGTTATTACATGTATTAATTTCCATTGTCGAGGTTACTCTTATGTGCATTTATTAGTAGATGTTATTATATGCTATCATTTCCCTTGTTGAGTTATTATCATGCATTTAATCGTAGTTGGTATTTCATGCTTTGTAGTTGGTATTTCATGCTATCTCTTTTATTGTTGAGCTTATATTATGCATTTGAATTTGAAGTTGTCATTTCATGAAAATATCTTCATTGTTAGTTTTTATTGAAATTGTAATGATTGACAGCTATTCACACGTTTGTGGTTGATGTTGTTAATTATTGAAATTTCTTTCCTTGTTAAGTTATTTCCCGTTCATTTTGTTTTCATTGAGATTTTTGTACACATTGCGATTGATCCGTGGGTTATGTGTTTTGGTAATATTGGTATTATTGATTTTGGCAATGTTGTGGTATATGGGCATGTGTGGTGCGAGTTGATTATTGTGTTGTGATATTGTTATGCATGCAGAGGTATATGAGTGGTGTATTGATGCAAAGGTGGCGAGATAAGGTGGTATTTATGCGCTTGTTGCTAGTAAGGGAATTATTTGAAGTCACGCCCGAGATAAGGGGCCTAAAGCGCGTGAAGTATTTTGGGGAAAATATTTTTAGAATAAATGCAAGGCTCACGCAGCGATATAAGGAAGATTTTGATTGAGACTTGTGGAATGTGAATATGAGGTGTGGTACCTCGGTGTGATTCTTGTTGTACATTCTACGTTGGAAAGACTTGTTGATTTGAACAGTTATTGTTTTGTTTCCTTACCTTTTCCATTCGTATTTTGATTGTATTTGGTTACTTGTTGTCTTTATCATATGTATACTCTTTGTTGTCATTTGTTGCTTTTGTTTCGTTGTTAGCTTTGTATTGATAAATTGCTTTATTATCATTTATTTCCTTTAATTCCCCGTTGTTTGATTATATTAATATTCTGTACAAGTTTCTATGTCTAGTAGGTGTATTGACTTCACAATCGTCACTATTCTACCAAGGTTAGGCTAGATACTTGCTGAATACTGTTGTGATGTACTCATACTACGCTTCTGCATATTTTTGTGAAGATCCAGGTACTTCTGCTCGTCATGGGCGCCAATATGTTGATTCAGACACTTCAGAGGCTTCAAGGTATATCTACTTGATGCTTGCATGCCTCATAGTCACCTTCTAGTATTCTTATACTATTGTCTTTCCTTGTTTTCGAATAGTATTGTAATAGAGATTCCTAATATATTTTAATAGAGCTTATGGCTCAGTTCCACCGGTTTTGGGGATTACTAGATTGTTGTTCCATTTTGGTTTATTACGATATTTATTGGTTTAATTTAATATCTTAGCTGTCATTTCTGCTAAATTCCCAACGTGTGTTAGCTTACCTCGTCTTAGAGACTAAGAGCCATCATGATTTCCTAAGATGGGACTTTGGGGTCGTGACAAGTTGGTATCAGAGCTCTAGTTTCATAGGTGCTATGAGTCATAAGCAAGTTTAGTAGAGTTTTGCGAATCGGTACTGAGGCATCTGTACTTATACTCGAGAGGCTATGGAGCTATTAGGAAAATCCACTTCTTTGATTCCTTATCATGTAGATTTGTTTATTTCGAAATTTGAGCCTTTATCATTTTATTCTCTCACAAATGGTGAGGACACGCATTGCTGGATCAGATGATTAGACACCCGCTCCCCCTGCTAGGGCCGCGAGTGGCAGAGGCCGAGGAGGGGCACGTGCTTCAGCTAGAGCACCTGCCCGAGCAGCAACTGAGGAGCCACCAGTAGCTCCAGTTAGGGGGCAGGAACCCGACTGAGTATGTTCGGCACTTTGGCTCAGGCGGGATTGATCCCAGTTTCTCTATCTACATCTCAGGCTGGGGGAGGAGATTAGACTCTTGTGGCCCGTATCCCAGAGTAGCAAGTCCATATTGATCAGGTTCTGGGAGTTATGCCAGCACAACCCGTTATTCAGGTTCAGCATGAGTTCAGGCCAGAGGCATTAGAGGAGGAGTAGAAGAGACTTAAGAGATTCAAGAAGGATGATCCTCCTACTTTCAGTGGCGAATTTAATGAGGACACACAAGATTTTCTAGACAAATGCCATCGTATTATCCACACCATGGGCATTATGGAGGTGAACGGAGTCGCCTTTACTACATTTCAGCTGTCAGGAGCAGCATATATGTGGTGGCAGGCTTCTGAGGAGGGTCGGCCAAGTGATGCATCATCACTCACTTGGGCTCAATTTTCAGATATATTTATTAGGGAGTTTGTTCCCCAGACCCTCCAGGATGCATGCAGAGTTTGAGCAGATGTGGCAGAGGACTATGACAGTGTCGGAGTATGCCATTAGATTTAGTGAGTTGGCCCATCATGCACCCGCTTTGGTTTCTATAGTTAGAGAGCGAGTCCGCAGATTCATCGAGGGGCTCAGGTATGGTCTTAGATTCTATGGCTCGGGAGTTGGAGACGGATACTTTATTTTAGCAGGTTGTGGAGATCGTTTGAAGGATGGAGCATATACATGGCCAGGAGAGGAAGAATAGGGAGGCCAAGAGGCTTCGAGATTCTGGAGAATTTAGTGGTGCTCGTGCTGCAGTTTCAGCTCGTCATGGCCGAGGTTATGTGAGTCGACCAGTTCATTCAACACTTCCAGCTACTCATAGTGCTCCGGCTATTCCGAGGTCTTAGGTCGCCTATTGGGCACAACCACTTTCCAGTGCACCTCCTACACGGGAAGCCTTCAGCAGTCAATCTAGTCAACCGGGTCAGACTCAGTTTCAGCATTCACGCCCGCAGAGAGGTTGTTTCGAGTGTGGTGATATTAGGCATATGGTGAGGGATTGTCCCAGGCTTAGGATGGATGCGCCTCCACAGACTCCACAGGCTCCACAGATTCCATAGGGTCCCCAGGGTTCACAAACTATAGTTGTTGCTCCAATTGTCGCTCCACCTGCACCACCAGCTAGGGGTGAAGGTTAGGTGGGTAGAGGTCGTCCTAGAGGGGGAGGCCAGACCCGTTGTTATGCTTTTCTGGGTAGAACTGAGTTGTTGCATCGGATGTTGTCATCACATGTATTGTTTCGGCCTGTCATAGGTGTGCATCAGTTTTATTTGATCAAGGTTCCACTTATTTGTATGCGTCATCTTGCTTTGCTCCATATTTGGATATATCTCGTGATTCTTTAAGTGACCTTGTATATGTGTCTAAGCATGTGGGAGATTTATTGGTCATGTTTGGTCATTATCGGTGGTTATGAGGCCAGAGTTGACCTATTGCTACTCGGTATGGTAGTCTTTGACATGATATTAGGAATGGATTGATTTTCGTCCTATCACGCTATTCTGGATTGTCATGCCAAGATCATGACATTGGCAATGCCAGGGTTGCGGCAGTTAGAGTGGATAGGTACATAGGATTATATTCCTAGCAGGGTGGTGTCCTTTCTGAAGGCACAACGAATGGTTGAGAAGGGGTGTGAAACATATCTAGCCTTGGTGAGGGATGTTAATGTTGATACTTCTACTGCCGAGTCAGTTTCGATAGTGAGAGATTTCCTAGATGTGTTTCCAGTAGACCTATCAGGCATGCTGCCCGATAGGGACATCGATTTCGGTATTGACCTGGTGCTGGGCACTCAGCCTATTTCCATTCCACCATATCGTATGTCACTAGTAGAGTTTAAGGAATTAAAGGAACAACTTCAGAAGTTGGTTGATAAGGGTTTCATCCGGTCGAGTGTCTCGCCTTAGGGTGCTCCAATTCTATTTATAAAGAATAAAAATGGTTCTATGAGGATGTGTATTGATTACAGGCAGTTGAACAAAGTTACAGTCAAGAACAAGTACCTACTATCGTGTATTAATGATTTGTTCGACCAGCTTCAGGAGCTCGGGTATTCTCGAAGATTGATTTAAGATCGAGGTACCATCAGTTGAAGATTCAAGATTCATATATTCCGAATACGGCCTTTAGGACTCGCTATGTTCACTATGAGTTTTTGGTGATATCATTTGGGCTGACCAATGCCCCAGCAACATTTATGCACTTGACGAATAGTGTATTCCATCCATATCTTGATGCTTTCATCATCATGCTCATCGATGACATATTGGTGTATTCTCACAGTTGGGAGGATCATGGGCACCACTTGAGGATTGTGCTCTAGACCTTGAGGGAGAAGAAGCTATATGCTAAATTCTCCAAGTGTGAGTTTTGGCTTGATTCAGTGGCATTTTTGGGTCATGTGGTGTCTAGTGAAAGGATTAAGGTGGATCCTAAGAAGGTGGAGGCAGTTCAGAGTTAGCCCAGACCGTCTTTTGCTACTAAGATCCGGAGTTGTCACGCCCCAAACTTGAAGAGGCATGGCCGGCACCCGATATCATACTCGGCCCGAGTGTACCACTCTGTAATTGTGAACTCTGGAGGGGTAACCATCAATTTAAGCCGATGAGGCCATATTCTGAATCATTTGAAAATAACATCTCTCTCTTATGTGGGATAAATATACCTAAAATCTGATATATATAACTCTGTAGGCCGACGAAGCCGCCATGAACATCTACTAATATACAAATTATATAGGAATCGTCTACAAACCTCTAGAGATAACTGAATTGTACCATGGTCGGGACAAGGCCTCGACCTACCCATCAATCATGTATATATAAAATGGACTCCAAGATCTAGACTTGATAACTCCGAGGAAGTGGAGCTTACCAACCAAGCTGATGTTTGACTATGTCTGCTGAGAGGGTCTGTCCAACTGTCAATGAGGACCTACAGGGATGAAATGCAGCGTCCTCGGCAAAAAGGACGTCAGTACGAAATAATGTACCGAGTAGGTAAGGCAACAAAATAACTGAAAGCTGAATTGAACTAATAATATAATAACTTAAAGCAACTAGGAGTCAAAGATAAACTGAAGATATGCTTACCTGCTGATACTGACTCAACTCTCTCAATATCGTAAGTAAAATAGTTGTCCGGCCTTATAAGGCTCAGTATGTATGACTGATCTGCCGTACTAGGCTCGCTCATAGGTGTTTGGCCATACTAGGCTCTGTATATCAACCATACTAGGCTCTGTATCTCAGCCATTCTAGGCTCGCTCATAGGCGCTCGGCCACAGTAGGCTCGGTATATAACTCACCATCTTATCACAGGTTGGCCAATAGGGGCATGCCCATCGATTATAGCTCGATAGTGGTGAAAATAATGTAATACTGTATATATATATATAGACACTCTGCTCTCTTGGCTGACAGAAGACAAAACTAAACTGAATATGAAGTCCCGATAAGGGATAATGTTGTAACTTATGAGACTAGAACAATGTACATAAATGCAGGATTGTGAACTTCTCTTTATGTCTCGTTATCAAACACATGTAGTTACTGGATCATGCCAAAATGAAAGAAAGGTTTAGCCTTAATATACCTTAAATCCGTTGAGTCCTTAATACCTTCCAAGCAATTCTTCAAACAACTCAACTTAATATACCATAATATAAGGAGATTCAAAATCAATGCTGAGTAAATGCTAAGTCCGCAACTTAAACTAGTAGCTTGTTTACGTAAATTTGGGCAGCATCTCCCCTACAACAAGGCCCTATTCCAATACCATATACCGAAAACCCCAAGAAAAAAACAATAACAACATGTATGCATCATTTTCCAACCTTATCTCCATCACAATATACCACAAAACAGCCCATACACCCTAATCACTTCATACATAAAACGACAATCAAGTAGTGCCAAACAACCTAAAAAAATATAACGACGAAAGACCATCCCACCATTCTGTAATTATGTGTTATTTTCCAACCCCTTTTCTCTTCCAAAACTCCATAAAACACCAGCACAAGAGGCCAACACGAAACAGCCCAAAAAAGTCCACTACAAATTAAATAACTCGAACTCACGGCTTCCGATCAACGTTCCGTGAGTTCTAACTATTAGAAAATGAATTTATCAACCTTACTTGATATTTAAACACTTAAATACATATATTAGACATTTCTTAACTATGAAGTACCTTCCAAAACTCGAACTACACAGAAAAAAGAGAGGTGGTATAATGATATTTACGTTGTAGGGATCGTTTTGATGTTATCGCTTCTTGATTTCGTGCCCGGGATGATAATAATCTTTCAAACCCTTGTAGAGAGCTTTAAGGATATGTTCATGGGTGTTCTCTAGTCGTGTTATGCTGAAAAGGAAGAGAAAGATGACCTAAGAGTTATATATATCAACTTTAGAAAAGTCAAAGAGGTGCTAGATTGACACCCTAGCATTGGCCCATCTTCCAACGCATATATCTTTTTATATAGATGTTGTATGAATGAACGGTTAAGAGAGTTGGAAAATACATTTCAAGACCTTCAATTTTGTATACAATATGTTCCGAAAAGACCTCATATAAAACATGAAATATATTGCTCAAAAAGCTTTAGTAACAAACTTACTTATCACCTATGCAATCTGCGCAGTCTTGCAAAAATGCAAATATATCTCTACTCCTATGTTGTATCGACAAACGATTTAATGCATTAGAAACTAGACTAGTATATATTCAATTTTGTAGGTATATCATTCCCTAATTCAAAGTATATTAGGAGAAAAGCTCAGCTATATTTGACCTAAAATTCAGCATATTTATGAATGTAACTTGTGATGACCTTTTCTAACTTTTGTTCCACAACTCGCTTGACTTCAAATCATAACATACGTCTATCATACGACTAAAATAACTCATAAAAATAATTTCTTATAATTTTAAACACCCTATTCTCACCCCAAAAGTATATGTTACAACATTCCCAACTTGTCGACTTTCGACGCCACTTATTTTCTTCAATTCGTTTAGCTTCTAAGCCTTCCAACCCTCTTGGTACTTGGTATTCATGACCTTAAATATTTATAGCCTCTGTGGTAACATGATTAACTTATTTTATGTACTTTCAAGGATGATCTCATTTTTGAGCTGACATCAATTAACTTAAGACGTACTCTTACATACGGAAACATGGGGTTTAACATTATTCCCCCCTTTTGGAACATTTATCCTCGAATGTTGGCTGATGTGCTTATCAGCCTTATAACCCATAGCTGTTACGAATATTTTAACATTGTCCTTGCTATTTAGGCAACTGTTCTGTGAATAAATCCGAATGCTTGGGCATTCCCCTCTTTAGGCCTCTTTCTCACACCACAACTTGTTGTCGGAATTCTTCTAATCTCGTAACTGTTGTGACCTTCTGTCATGTAGCCTATACGACTTTGTCCTTGTATGTGCGCCTATGGGACTCTTCAGTCCTTTTTCCTCCAGCTTTTAGCCAATATCTAGGTCTCACTTTAGGAACATATACAGAACTATGACAAGCTGTCCCTCTGGCATCTATAGGTGTACTAAATTTCTTTGCTCGGTACTTGTCGAACTTATGGCTATTGCTATATCTTGTTTTTATAGACTAAATTATCTATCCTTATGAATTTACTACATCTAGGTAGGTCATACTATACTATAACACTTATTTCAGTTTATTATTACCAAGGTTCGCTACCAAACTCTAGGTTACTCTCTCACTGCTTATCCTATATGTATAAATCTAAGTCATTTAGTCCTTCCTCATCACCGTTCATCATAAGAATAATGTCTTTATCCCATCTCATACTTTGAAACTTTTATCTGCCTATTGTTGATTCACCTTATTGTTGACCTATAATCTACCTCTGATTACTTGAAACCTCTTATGTAATATATTGTCACTAGGGTTCACGTCTCATTATGGAACATCTGGAGTTATTTTCCTGTTCCACTTAGGGTCAATACTATACTTCAATAACTATATTTCATAGCATCCCAACGTGATTCACCTTATGGAGGTATTCTAATCTCATGCAATTCATGAAATCCCTTTTCTTTGAATAATTACTCAATCAAAGGCCTAAACGTCATCCTCTTATATATCACAATTACACCCTTATTCTACTACCAGTGTAATATTTTATCTCTTCAAATCACTCATAGTCTTAGACTCTTCTGAGCTTATTTAGGCTATACCGAGCTTCCTATAACTTATGGAATTCATCAACCCTCTTGTTTTGATGGGCTTAATCCCGAGGCCTTACCTATTCTCATCACCTTCTCACCCACCTTTTCTTATCCTCACTCCTGTCTACCTAAAACTTTATCACTCTACCATACTTTAGCTTGCGACCTACACATATCTATTTATACTACTCGCAACCTTCCTTTAACTTGATAGCATCACAGATTTCTTAATGTTATTCTGGAACCTCAAATGAGATATCACGTCATCTCTAACTCTTCTTTACTATCTTAAATAGACCTCTGGGTACCTGGAAATCATTGGGTGGAAGATATGCTAGTGACCACACCACTATCATTTCTGGATACTGAATCACGACGCTTCTAGCCCTCTATTTGAAGTCTTGACAATTCACAATCTTCTGCACTTGAGTATCTCGTACCTCATTTACCTTTACCTTTCTTACCTTTAAATCTCGCATCGTATCTTCTGTGGCTTTCATAACCTCCCTTCTATATTGGTGGAATTCACATTCACACCTTAAAGCTCTGCTATAATACTTTCACCTCTGGTGCATATACAATCAAGTGGGAGCTTTATACTTACTCCTTATGAGGCTGACACTTTTCTAACTGGCTTTATTGTTGGGCCGTTATAGAATATGGTTGATGTACTATCTCTCTTGTACCTATGATATTAAGAGTGATTTTGCAGTGTTTTGAATCATGATTTCTATATTTATCTAGGTCTAATAATAAGACTCCTGATTCACTTAGCTGACATAACTCTTTAGTTTCCTCTTCTCTCTCAGCTATTAAGTAGGCTTAAGCTATCTTCCGATCTGCAGCTTAGGGTATTAGTTATTACTTTAGCCTTTCATGGATGCTATGGAACATTCATGATATAACATTCTAGCAATTCAAGCTTTTATCTGTGACGTGGACTCAATTCTTTCTTTTAACTTATACTAGACAGTTGTATCATTGTCAACATATATGCTGCATAGATAACAATCCGAAATCCTAAGTGTGTTCACAACGTAACTAACTCTGGGTCATAGATCGAAAAATTTCTTTTGTGCCTTCTCAACTTTCGTTAAAAGCAAGCAATTACCTTTCTTGGTCATTCTGCCACTTGTTGCATGAATACTTGGATTATCTTAGTACCCACATATATTGGAAGTTTGTGCAACTCATATGATCTCGAATATTACTTTGGATTTTACTTTCGTTCCTTAGTCACGATATGTGCCACTTTCTTATGGAGTGCATACAATATTATAGTGTGACTGCTGTTACAGGACCATTTCTTCTTTAGGTCACTATGCTTATATTGAAGCCTTCTTCCTTATTTCCTCAGCTAGTTTTTCTTTGCAATGCTTAAGGAAGACTCTCTCACTCTTGTAAAGCTGTGAGCTTATCCCATCATATACCTGATGAAATTTTTGATGTTCTTACTCACCTATAAATATCCTTAGTTATATACCTCTGTGCCCTTATTCTCGTAGGGTTACTTCTGAACTCAAATTTTTTTTCTTTTTTTTGGTCTCCCCCGTGGAACTCACTTTTATTTCTGTAACACTTTTACGGTAACTATAACTACCTAAACTCCTATCTGAATATTTATCGAGGATTACGATATCGTATCTGAGAGACTGAATTCCCTATGCTGGGGTTCACTAGGTTTATCTTGTATGATCTGCTAATTTATCTTTATCCTCTTGTCTATCCATAATTAGGCTCTTTCTGAATCAACTACTAACTACTCATTGGTCCATGCTCATATTTATATTCTGTGTAACCTCTCTTGTGTTATGTCTTTTGTCTTAACTTACCTTTTGCACTGGCTTCTAATGTATCAAATGTTCATTTGCACTTAGTTATCAATAACATCCTAGGAGGGAACCCTTAATTCATCTCCCCGCCATCGTGCTTGTATAATGTTCTGGAGTCATAACATATATGTAGGATTTGTATAAATTCAATCTCACCCATTTCGCCTTTTTTACCGCATTCCTTTACTAGTCCATAGTTACCTCTTCATCTTTGGCATCTTTTCACATCTTCACTAACCCTTACTCGCCTTGCGGTAACCCTTCTATACCAGGGATAACAGAATTTCGTACGCGCGAGGGTGACACCTAGTGTAACTGGCACACTTAGTGCCTTAAGTATAACTCTGCTCACATAGCTTGATTTAGGGAACGTCTTCCTGAATGAACTTTAAAGGTTATTCTTCTGTTGTCCATTCTATCATTGCTGGAGTGCAATCTTTGAAATTCTCTTGATGTCGACTATTATCACATCATTCGATCCCTAATTGATGTTCAGTTTATCTTGTTCACTAGTCCATGCTGATTTCTCTTACTCCCGGGGTCTAAATTTTTTTTCTGGTAATCACATTGGACTCACCAACTCATTTCTCGAAATAAGGATATGACTTTTAGCCTATACTCTTTTATAGTCTCAAGGCATGTCTCCTCTTGTCTTTTCCTTTACTTGACTATAGACTATGTCATCCTATCATATTATGATTTACCATTACCACTCTTTTATCACATCTTACCCATAATGTTTCATTTACTCTCTTCTTATTCTCCTGCCAATATCTTTGTTTATTACCTTATTTTGAAAACTTCAACTAAAATATTCTTTCACTTTTATCTCCCCTTACTCCATCTCACTGGCTCTTCGGATCGCCTACTATTCTCTTTTTACTAGAGGCGTGAGTCATACTAAAGTAAATATTTATCTCTTCTAGGATGCCACTACATGTCTTCTGATATTTTTGAACGTTCTAGTATTCATATCTGACTGTATTATTCTGAAGTGTACCATCTGGTATGTACGATCTAATAGGGCCTCAAACAGGGCCACATCGTCAAGAATTCTCTCTCTTTTAATGCCTTTACCTACTGTTGTGTTAGCTCTCTGGCTAGCTGTAATTTTTCAAATTGCAAGTATCTCTATAATTAGCAAACATAAGTCTTGGCTCGAACACTTATGACTTAACTCTATAGCACGATGTGGATTTGAAAAAAAAGGTAATATACTCTTAAAAGCCTTGTAACTTCCTGTTCATATAATGTGGTGTACAACACATCCATAAACAAGGCTCTACTAGACACAACTTGTAGATTCCCTAGGACAGAACTGCTCTGATACCAAGTTTGTTACGCCCCAAATCTGAAGAGGCATGGTCGGCACCTGGTGCCATACTCGTCCTGAGCGTACCACTCTGTAATTGTGAACTCTGGAGGGGTAACCGTCAACTTGGGCCGATGAGGCCATATTCTGAATCGTTNTTTGATTAGCTAGATTGTTTCAGCTAATATTATTTATTTTAAACTTATCTGTAGGGTGTACTCGAAAATGTGAAAGAGAAGCGTGAATTAATTATAGCTAGAATAGTCTTTATAAAGACTAATAGTTTTCAAATGCACGTCTGTGTTCCATCTGCTTTTGTTATTCAGTTATTCTTATGTTAGGTGATATGAGAAAATAGCAAACTTGGAGAAAAGCTTACATGCTTTGCTTAGGATCGGAAATAGTCTCAAATCTGTTGTGTTGACGATATTGGGCAAACAGAGTCTTGCCCAATAAAATCATCTTATTTTATTTGTTCTAATTAAAGCATTATCGCGCAGGGATACTGCTGGTCAAGAGAGATTTAGGAGTCTTATTCCGAGCTACATTAGAGATTCTTCTGTTGCTGTCATTGTATATGATGTTGCCAGTAAGTGATATCTTGACATGGCACAATATTTCTATATTGTATGATATTCATTGACATTAATCATCATATATATATATATATATATATATATATATCTGCAGGCCAACAAAGCCGCCATGAATATCTACTAATATACAAATTATACAGGACCCGTCTACAAGCCTCTAGAGATAATTAAACTGTACCATAGTCGGGATAGGGCCTCCGACCTACCCATAAATCCTGTATATACAAAATGGACTCCAAGATCTAGACCTGATAACTCTGAAGAAGTGGAGCTTACCAACCAAGCTGATGTTTGACTCTGTCTGCTGGGAGGGTCTGTCCAACTATCAATGAGGACCTACAGGCATGAAATTTAGCATCCTCGGCAAAAAAGACGTCAGTACGAAATAATGTACCGAGTATGTAAGGCAATAGAATAACTGAAAACTGAAACTGAACTGATAATATAATAACTTAAAGCAACTAAGAGTCAAAGATAATCTGAAGATATGCTTACCTGCTGATACTGACTCAACTCTCTCAATATAGTAAGTAACATAGTTGTCCGGCCTTATAAGGCTCGGTATGTATGACTGGTCTGCCGTCGTAGGCTCGCTCATAGGTGCTCGTCCATACTAGGCTCTGTATCTCGGCCATTCTAGGCTTGCTCATAGGCGCTCGGCCATAGTAGGCTCGGTATATAACTCACCATCTGATCAGAGGTTTCTCAATAGGGGCCTGCCCATCGATTATAGCTCGATAGTGGTGAAAATAATGTAATACTGTATATATAGAGACTCTCTGCTTTCTTGGCTGACAGAAGACAAAACTAAACTGAATATAAAGTCCCAAAGGGAGAATGTTATAACTTATGAGACTAGAACAATGTACATAAATGCACGATTGTTAACTTCTCTTTATGTCTCGTTATCAAACACATGTAGTTACTGGATCATGCCAAAATGAAAGAAAGGTTTAGCCTTAACATACCTTAACTCCATTGAGTCCTTAATACCTTTATAAGCAATTTTTCAAACAACTCAACTTAATCTACCACAATATAAGGAGATTCAAAATCAGTGCTGAGTAAATGCTAAGTCCGCAACTTAAACTAGTAGCTTGTTTACGTAAATTTGGGCAGCATATCCCCTGCAACAAGCCCCTCCTCCAATACCATATACCAACAACCCAAAGAAAAAAATAATAACAACATGTATGCATCATTTTCCAACCTTATCTCCATCACAATATACCACAAAATAACCCATACACCCTAATCACTTCATACATAAAATGACAACTAAAGTGGTGCCAAACAACCTAAAAAATATAACGACGAAAGACCAGCCCACCATTCCGTCATTATGTGTTATTTTCCAACCCCTTTTCTCTTCCAAAACTCTATAAAACACCAGCACAAGAGGCCAACACGAAACAGCCCACAAACAGTCCACTATAAGTCAAATAACTCAAACTCACGGCTTTCGATCACCGTTTCGTGAGTTCTAACTATTAGAAAATGAATTTATCAACCTTCCTTGATATTTAAACACTTAAATACAGATATTAGACGTTTCTTAACTATAAAGTACCTTCCAAAACTCGAACTATAAAGAAAAAAGAGAGGTGGTATAATGATACTTATGTTGTAGGGATCATTTTGATGTTATCGCTTCTTGATTTCGTGCCCGGGGTGATAATCGTCTTTGAAACCCTTGTAGAGAGCTTTAAGGATATGTTCTTGGGTGTTCTATAGTCGTGTTATGCTGAAAAATGAAGAGAAAGCTGACCTAAGAGTTATATATATCGACTTTGGAAAAGTCAAAGAAGTGCTAGCTTGGCACCCTAGCATTGGCCCATCTTCCGACGCATATATCTTTTTATCTGGATATCGTATGAATGAATGGTTAAGTCCATTGGAAAATAAATTCCAAGAACTTCAATTTGGTATATAATATTTACCAAAAAGACCACATATAAAATACAAAATATATTGCTCAAAAAGAATTAGTAAAAAACCTACTTGTCACCTATGTAGTCTGCGCAGTCTTGCAAAACTGCAAATATCTCTCTACTCCTATATCGTATCGATAAATGGTTTAATGAATTAGAAACTAAACTAGTAGATATTCAATTTGGTAGGCAGATCATTCCCTAATTCAAAGTATATTGGGAGAAAAGCTTAGCTATATTTGACCTAAATTTCAGCATATTTATGAGTGTAACTTGTGATGACCTTTTCTAACTTTTGTTCCACAACTCGCTTGACTTCAAATCATAACACACGTCTATCATATGACTAAAATAACTCATAAAATAATCTCTTATAATTTTAATCACCCTATTCTCACCCCAAAAGTACATGTTACAATATTCTCAATTTGTCGACTTTCGATGCCACTTATTTTCTTCAATTCGTTTAGCTTCTAAGCCTTCCAACCCTCTTGGTACTTGGTATTCATGACCGTGAATATTTATAACCTCTGTGGTAACATGATTAACTTACTTTATGTACTTTCAAGGATGATCTCATTTATGAGCTTACATCAATTAACTTAAGACGTACTCTTACGTACGAAAACATGGGGTATAACATGAGTTTTCTAGGTTTGGATGGGTATTATCGCCATTTTGTAGAGGGGTTTTCATCCATCATAGATCTTTTCACTAGATTTACTCATAAGGGTTCCCCATTTAGGTGGTCCAACGAGTGTAAAGAGAGCTTTCAGAAGCTCAATACTTGTCTTGGCCACAAATCCAGTTCTGGTTTTGCCTTCAGCATCGAGTTCTTATATAGTTTATTGTGATGCTTTGCGGATTGGCATTGAATGTGTATTGATGTAGGAGGGTAGAGTGATTGCTTATGATTTGTGTCAGTTGAAACCCCATGAGAAGAACTACCCCATTCATGATTTAGAGTTGGCAGCTATTGTTCATGCATTGAAGATTTGGAGGCACTATCTCTCCGACGTGTCTTGTGAGGTATTCACAAATCACAGGAGTCTAAATCACGTGTTTAAGCAAAAGGATCTAAACTTGAGGCAGCGAAGGTGGTTAGAGCTGTTAAAAGACTATAATATCACCATTCTATATCATTCTGGGAAGGCCAATGTGGTGTTCAATGCCTTGAGTATGAAGGATGAGAGCATGGGGAGTCTTGCTTATATTCCGGTTGAAGAGATAACATTAGCATTAGATGTTTAGGCTATGTCCAATCAGTTCGTGAGGTTGGATGTTTCGGAGCCTAGCCGGGTTCTTGCTTTCGTAGTTTCTCGGTCTTCTTTGTATGAGTGCATCAAAGTGCGTCAGTATGATAATCCCCACTTGATTGTCCTTAAGGACACGATGCAACACGGTGATTCCAATGAGGTTTCTATTGGAGATGATGTGGTGTAGAGAATGCAAGGCCGGATTTGTATGCCCAATATAGATGGGTTGCGTGAGTTGATTCTTGAAGAGGCCCACAGTTCCTTGTATTTCATTCATCCAGGTCCCGCAAAGATTTACTAGGATTTGAGACAGTACTATTGGTGGAGAAGAATGAAGAAAGATACTGTGGCGTATGTGGCTCGGTGTTTGAACTGTCAGTAGATAAAATACAAAAATCATAGACTGGGCGGTTTGCTTCAAAGACTTGATATTTAAGAGTGGAAGTGGGAGTGTATCACCATGGATTTTGTAGTTGGACTTCCACGGACCTTGAGAAAATTTGACGTAGTGTGGGTTATTTTTGATAGATTGACCAAGTCTACACACTTTATTCCAGTTGTGACTACCTACTCTTTAGAGCAATTGGCTCAGATTTATATCCGTGAGATTGTGCGTCTTTGTTACGACCCAAATCACAGGGCCGCAACAGGAACCTAGTGTCTTACTCAACCGAGTACCAACATATCATATTTTTCTTATCATACCATCATGGGTAAGTGGGTCATAAGGGCCGTCATTAGATAACCAGAATAAAACATAAGGGAATACTCGATATAGGACGACCCAACATGATATACAAACTTATACATGCGACATACAGGCCTATAATATCAACATGATCATTTGTACACACAAACCATAGACTGACATGATCATTTGTACACACAAAACATAGGCCGACAAGGCTGTAAAAGTATCCATATATATGACCTCTGTCTGCAAGCCTCTAAGAGTATATAAATGTCATAAAGTTCGGGGCAGGGCCCACCATACCAATCAATACATGTCCAAAGCATACTGACCAAATAGGCAACTCGGGAGCACATAAAGTGCGTCAACACCTTCCGCTGAGCTGATAGACTACTAGGAAGACTGTCATCCTATCTATCGGGACCTACATGCATGAAATGCAGCATCCTTAGGAAAAAGGGATGTCAGTACGAATAACGTATCGAGTATGTAATAAAAAGTAGTATATAAAAGACATGAAAGAAACATGGAGTAAAGGACTCAACCTGTAAACTCGAACAACTCTTGAATCATGAAACATTTACAATGTCATGCATATGTGTATGAATGCCATACCATGCATAGGTATATGCATACATAATATCATCAATCCTTTGAGGGTATCCCATCATATCATCTCGGCCTCTATGGGCAAAATCATTAATGTATACCAACTGATTAGGTAGTGGTGCATATATAATGCTGTAACCTTTTCCCACACCCTTTATACATATAATATACACATATATAACGTCGTATGGTCATGGGTCAATGCATATGTATAAATGAATGCAATGTATAATGAAGCAAGTCAATAAGATCTCTCGGAATGTCATAAGATCATTATGCCTTCAGATAAACTTTATCAACTTACATATTTTCTAAGACCCATGAAAAGACGATATAATAATAGGACACATGGGAATCAAGAACATAGGTACCCCTAGTACTTCTATGAATAGAGTCATTTATGAAAGTTACGCGTTTGCTCGTTTCGTTTTTATCATATGGATCATGCCAAAAGAAAAGAAGGGATAGCCTTAACATATCTTAACTCCGTCGAGTCCTTAACACATTCCAAGCAATTCTTCAAACAACTCAATCTATCATAGCATAATGAGATTCAAATCAGTGATGAGTAAAGGCTATGTCCTCAAGTTAAACTAGTATTTTGTTTATGTAAATTTGGGCAGCATCTCCCCGTTAACAGGGGCCTCATCCAATACCATATACTAACAACAACAACCAGAGCAATACAATAAGAACAACAACAACAATAGAGTACAAAATATTTCATTAAAAAGTCATCAACATATCACGACGAGACCTCCTTATCATTTTAGGAACCCTAATCTCACCCCAAAGTACATGTTATAACATTCCAAACTTATCGACTTTCGATGAAACTTGTCTTTTGTTTAGCTTCTAAGCTTTCCAACCCTCTTGGTACTTGTTATTCTTGATGTTAAAGAATTGTAACCTCCAAGGCAATATGATTAACTTACTTTATGTACTTAAAAAAAGATCTCATTTCTGAGCTTATATCGATTATCTTACGATGTACTCTTACATACAAAAATATGAGGTGTAAAAGTCTTCATGGTATGCCGATGTCTATTGTCTCTGATCAAGGCACGCAATTCATATCGCATTACTAGAGAGCCATACAGTATGAGTTAGGAACACAGGTTGGGTTGAGCACAACATTTCATCCCTAGACGGATGGGCAGTCCGAGAGCACTATTCAGATCTTGGAGGACATGAGTGCCTGTGTTGCAGATTGTGGGGGTTCATGGGATCAATTTCTACTACTCGCAAAGTTCGCCTACAATAACAACTAAATCGAGTATTCAGATGACTCCTTATATGGCCCTATATGGGATGTGGTGTCATTCTCTAATTGATTGGTTTGAGCCAGGGGAGGCTAGATTGGTTGTTTGGTACTAATTTGGTTTGGAATGTCTTGGATAAAGTCAAGTTGATTTAGGATCGACTTCGTACAACACAGTCTAGATAGAAGAGTTATGATGATCGGAAGGCTCGTGATGTAGAATTCATGGTTGGAGAGAGGGTTCTGCTTAAAGTTTCACCCATGAAGGTTATGATGAGGTTCAGGAAGAAGGGCAAGTTGAGCCCTAGGTATTTTGGTCCTTTTGATATCCTTGAGAGGGTCGGTGAGGTGGCCTACAAATTTGTATTACCACCCACCTTATCGGGAGTTCACTCGGTGTTCCATGTTTCCATGCTCCGAAAGTATTATGGTGATCCGTCACATATATTAGATTCAAATTGGACAAGGATTTGACTTATGATGAGAAGTCGGTGGCTATCTTGGATAAGAAGGTCCAGAAGTTGAGGTCAAAGAACATTGCTTCATCAAATGTTCAATGGAGGGGTCAATCGGTCGAGGAGGTGACCTGGGAGATCAAGCAGACATGCGAAGTCGATATCCTCACCTTTTTAGTACTTCAGGTATGTCTTTATGCACGTTTAATGATGGACGTTTGATTTAAGAGAGGAAGAATGTAATGACCTGTTCAGTCGTTTGGTGTACTTGAGTCCCATTTCCCTTTTTGAAGCTTCCCGTATGTGCGTGTGATTTTGTGACTTACGGGGATAGTTGCTTTCATTTCGAGGAAGTTTTGGAATGATTTGGATCCTTTGGTTCTTGGTTAGAAGCTTAAGTTGGAAAAATTGACCTAGTTTAAATTTTGTGAAAACGAACCCGAAACCGTATTTTGATGGATCCAATAGGTTTGTATCATAATTATGGACTTGGATGTATGCCCGAAATTGAATTCGGATGTCCATTTGACTTGTTTTGCCAAAAGTTGGCAACTTGAGGTTTAGGAATTCCCTCGGTTTGACCGTAGGTTGATTTTATGGCTATCGAGTTCAGCATTTCATTTTGGGATGTGGAATAGGTCCATTTTACTATTTAGAACGTATTTGCAAAATTTGGTATCATTCCGAGTTGGTTTGATAGGAATCGAACACTTGGTTGCAATTCTAGCGGTTCTTGAGTTTTCCTTTTGAATTTCATACATTTTGATATCCAATTCGTGATTTCGAATGTTATTTGGTATTTTGATCGGGCAAGCGAGTTCGTATGATATTTTTAGACTTGTGTTGATGTTTGGTGTGGAGCTCCGAGGGTTTGGGCGAGTTTCAGATGTGTTTCGGATTGGATTGAACTCATTCCAGGTTACTGGTGTGTTGGTGCTCCAATTATTGCAATTGTGAGCACCAGCATCGCAATTGCGATCATAGCAGAGGGGTCTCAGGTATCGCATTTATGACATCTTGATCGCATTTACGAAGATAGACTTGGGTTGGGTAAGGTTGTATTTGTGACCATTTGGTCGCATTTGGGGAAGGGGATGACATCACATTTGAAACGTCAATGTTGCAATTGCGACATTCTCCTGGGCTATCACACACCGCATTTGTGAGCTATTTCTCGCATTTGTGAATGTATCGCAATTGTGAACCCAAGATCGCACTTGCGACTTCTGCACCTGAACATAAGGGGCTGGAAAAAAGGGATTGAGTCTCATTTCCATATCTTGGAACCTTAGACTCGGTAGGAGGCGATTTTGAGGAGGGATTTTCACCTACAACTATTAGGTAAGTGATTTTAATCAATTTAAAATTATATTACATGATTTTTTATAAGATTTAACATTGAATTCATGAAATATTAAGAAACATTTTGGGGATTTTTGTCTATGTTTTGAAAATATTAAAATTTAAGGTTTGAGAGTCGAATTGGACTCGGATTTGAAAATAAAATACATATATGGACTCGTGGGGTTATAGGTAGTCGAGAACTACCCCTGGACTTGAGTTTTGACCGGGCGAGCCTAGGATTGACTTAATTTGACTTTTGGGGAATTGTATAAAGATCTTAGATTTATTAATCGGAATTGATTTCTCTTGCATTGTCTGATGATATTAAGTCATTTTTTGTTAGATTTGAGTCGTGCGGAATTTTAAGGGAAAATCCATTTTTTAGTGTTGATTTGGCCTAATCGAGGTAAGTATCTTGCCTAACTTTATGTGGGAGAACTACCTCTTGGGATTGAGTTTGATTGTACTACTTGAATTATGTGAAAAATGTATATGTGAGATGACGAGCGTGTACACATGCTTATATGTAAAAATTGACAAGTTTAGACTCTTAGGTTACTTATAAACATTTAATTGAAATTGTTAATATTCAATCTATCTTTCGTTGTCAAGTTTATTCTTACATATTTTAATTGAAGTTGTTATTACATGTTTTAGTTTCCATCGTCGAGGTTACTCTTATATGCATTTATTAGTAGTTGCTATTACATGCTATCGTTTCCTTTGTTGAGTTATTATCATGCATTTAGTCGTAGTTAGTATTTCATTCTATCTCTTTTATTGTTGAGTTTATGTTATGCATTTTAATTTGAAGTTGTCATTTCATGGAAATACCTTCATTGTTGGGTTTATTGAAGTTGTAGTTATGAGAGCTATTAACACGTTTTGTGGTTAAAGCTGTTGATTATTGGACGATCTTTCCTTGATGAGTTATTTTCCGTTAATTTTATTGTCATTGAGATTTTTGTATACATTGTGGTTGAGCCGTGGGCTATGTGTTGTAGTGACATTGGTATTGTTAATTTTGACAATATTGTGGCATATGGGCATGCGTGATGCGAGTTGATTATTGTGTTGTGATATTGATGCACATGCGACAGTATAAGGGTGTTGTATTGATGCGTAGGCGGCTAGATAAGTTGGAATTTATGCGCATGTTGCTAGTAAAGGAATTACTTGAAGCCACACAACGAGATAAGGGGCTAAAACACGTGAAGCTATTTTGGGAAAAATATTTTAAAATAAATACAAGGTTCATGCAATGATATAAGGAAGATTGTGATTGAAACTTCTGAAATGTGAATATGAGGTGTGGTACCTTAGTGTGATTCTTGTTGTACATTTTATGTTGGAAAAACTTGTTGATTTGAACGGTTATTGTTTTGTTTCCTTACCTCATTCTATTCATATTTTGATTGTATTTGATTACTTGTTGTCTTTATCATATGTACACTCTTTGTTGTCATTAGTTACTTTTATTTTCGTTGTTAGCTTTGTATTGATAAATTGCTTTATTGTCATTTATTGCCTTTACTTCCTCGTTGTTAGATTATATTAGTACTCTACACATGTCTAGTAGGTGCCTTGACCTGACCTCGTCACTACTCTACCGAAGTTAGGTTTGATACTTACTGGGTACCATTGTGGTGTACTCATGCTACACTTCTGCACATTTTTATGCAAATCCAGGTACTTCTGCTCGTGCCGGGCTAGTGAGCTGATTCAGACGCTCCAGAGACTTCAAAGTATACCTACTTGACGCTCGCAGGCATCGGAGTCACCTTCTAGTGATCTTATGTTTGTTTTTCTTTGTTTTTTAACAATTTTGTAATAGAGATTCCTAGTATATTTCAGTAGAGCTTATGACTTAGTTCTACCGGTTTGGGAAATTACTAGACTGTTGATCCGTTTTGGTTTATTATGATATTTATTAATTTAATTTAATATCTTAGTTGTCATTTCTGCTAAATTCTCTATGTGTGTTAGACTTACCTAATAGGTTAGGTGCCATCACGACTTTCTAAAACGGGATTTTTGGGTCGTGACAATTGATCAAGCTATTTTATGAATATTACATGTAAACTAAGCGCTTTCATGATAATATTAACTCAACTCTAGCTCAAATCTACTACAAATCATTTTACATTTAAGTTTTGCTCCTCTTAATGTTTCCAATCAATTAGAACAACACTTAATCCACACAACTAACAAACTTTAAAGATCCAGATTTAATTAACTCAAAGATTAGAGAAGAGAAATTAAAAAAACTAAATCGTGAAGAGCCCCAAATGCCACGGGGATGCAGAACAAAAATATTCTTAGTTTTGCAGTAAGTTTTTCTTATTGTAGCATCAAACGAAATGGGGAACTTGACCAACTAATTTAACTCCATAGTTTTTAGATACAGTGTTTGTAAGAAAACGAAATTTGAAACAATGGTTGTCATCTGATGCTTTTGGTAGTGCTTTTAAAATATGTACAATATAGACTAGATCGGGCAAAACTAAAAAATGTGGGCTGTCTTGTTTATAATATGAAGTTAGTACTTGTTTTAAATGTAGGTTAATTGTTAATTTGGAGGTCAAATGTAGGTTAATTTGGAGAACTGACAAATCAAAAATGTATTGAGTGTTATAAATATATTATATTATGGATGTTCATTTAGTACTCCGTTGTAAATAAGCTTCCTGAAGAAGCTTATCCATATGGGACTCCACCATAAATATGTTTATCTATTTAGTATTATATTGGAAATAAGCTTCCTGTAGAAGCTTATCACTTCGGTACCCGGTTATGGATAAACATTACCCC